TTCCACGCTCTTCCATCTTCAGCTGGTATTTTTATGGGCAATCAATGGCCAGGCCCTGGATGATAAAATTCCTAAACGGGGATGTACTATATTCACCTCTCCTCCAGCGATGCAACATCTGTGACATCGCTTGCTGGCCGCTGACATCAATCCTGCTCATGCACAGGAGATTATTCATCATGGGAGATACAGAAATTGTACACGGAGTTGTGTGTGCAAGAAAAGAAGCCTGCCTATTTGAGGGCCCAGTCACACCATCAAGAGTGCGTACGGCCTCTGGAACGCAACCCAGCCATCTCACTTTGTTTTGGGGCGGGAGGGGGCTTGGTGGTGCATTGAACTCTATGGGAAGGCGCAGAGCGATCGCCGGCACCCCAACGCATGGCACATTGCAATCTGCAAAAAATAGTGCATGGAGCCAAACGCACTGGAAACGCACTCTTAAAGGGTGTGACAGGGCCCTTAGAAATGAGAATTGTGGTAGCAAGGTCCACTTTAAAAGAAGTGTAGCAATGCCTTATGACAGTTTTTTTTTTTTTTTACTGTATGTATGAAGTCTTCCTTTTACACATAAACATTTCATACATGACAAAGCATTCCCAGAGCACTGTGGGTTAGTGACAGCATAGCTGTAATCATCTCTTTTCAGACAGGCTGGGTCCCCAACCTCCAACTGAACTGTCTGATAAGGGATGTATCAGTCCTGTGTGTGCATTTCACCTTGAGATAATGGTCTCTAAACTGAGGTGTGAATGGAATCATGTGAAAAGGAGGTCAAAGTTCCACCTGTTGACAATTAGAATACAAAATGTTATGTGTAGTATTTCAATTTTACATGCAAAAAAAACTTTTTTTGTTAGTCCTAATCATAAATATATATTCCCTTTTGATGGGAACTTGTCAGGACTGGTAAGCTGCAATATATTACATTTTTGTTCTTGGGTTTAGATTCACTTTAACTGCTTGTTAACCTCTTTAGAAGGCATATAAGTGGTTAAATCTCTCAGTAGCACAGATATGTCATTGGCCGTGTAGCCCTAGGTGAAACAGTGGTTGTGTTTCCTGTGTGTTTTACTGGCAGCATAGCATGTTCCCTGACAGCAAATGTGCACCACAGCAAAGTTGGGTTAGCTCCTTACCCCGTCCCTCCCTCTCCTAGTCTGACCATTGCTCTGCACTGGTTTACAGGAGGCCGATATCAACGCAATATCAGGTGCTTGCAAAATAAATAGTTTTTTTAGCAAATATATAATTGCATTAAAGGAGAACTCCAGGATTTGTTTCCATTAACCCTTGCAGTGTGGCTACCCCTGCACTGCATGGGTTAAGTGCTTATTTTGGTCTAGGTGCTCTAATAACAAAGATGCACTCACCCGAAGCTCCGAGCCAGCCAGCTGTCACAACACTCCCTCCAGCCTGTCCCCCTCCTCCCTGCAGCATTGTAATCTTCCTCAGCGCCCTGCAGGGGTAGCCTTACTAAAAGAGTTAATACAAAACTTTCCTGGAGTTATTTAAAGGAGAAATGTGTAGAGAGCAAAATACTCATCCTGCGGCTTAGAGCCGCAGTGGTACACTGCAGCTGTTGCACGCCGGCTCTAAGACCTAGAGCCAAGCGATCATGTGACTCTCAGTCTATTTCATTCAGTGCTACTGTGAAGCTGATCTGTTAGGTTGCCACAGAAAAAGTAAAAATCTCTCCATTTGTTAGATATTTTTTACATCTTTTTTTTTTTCATCTTTTGCACAGATTGGATATAATGGAGCCCCCAGACGTTCCGCGGAGATGGAGGAAATATTCATCGGGAAATAGGTGTTGTATTTATTAGAATGTAAATAATGTTTCGCTGACTAATCTTCTTAAATTGCTTTGCTTTAAAAGGGATGTGACCAAACCATGTAGTATGGTATAAAATGTAATGCATGGATTGGCTTGTTGTCATTTCTGTTCCTTACCCCACTCTGGCCCATGGACATGAGATGAGGGATGCCCAATCCAGCTGTTTTTGGCGATAGCCCTGTATGCATACCCGGTTCACATTAGGCAGAGGTTATACAGAATGAAAAGATGCTAGTTTCAGTTTTCAGTTTAGAATAAAATTAAAATGATGGACCTAAGATTTTGTTTTCTGTCCGTGCCATCTGTTGGGATTTTTTGCCTTGTAATAGGTATTTAAAGTAGTAATAAGCGTTCAAACCTTTTTTTTTTTTATAATTAATCCAAATCAAACCAATATACATCGCCCAGCAAAGCATTGCTTTACATTTTTGTCCAAATACCTACAATCATCATTTTTCTGAACAGCTGCTTCCAAGTCTCTAAGCTCAGCTTCCCAAAACTTCCTGTCCAGTAGACGATCACAAAGGACAGAGCAGACTCCAGTAACTGTTCATCTACTAACTTTCAGAAGGGAGGAAAGGGGGGTGAGGGGTGAAGCTTGGTTTGCTCTGTCTGTGTGTTGGAGGAGTCAAATAGAGAGTCCCACCGCACTCCTGACCGAGAAGTCCCATATAATGTGCTGAAGTGGCCGTGGATGACGCCGCCAAATACTTGCAAAAGAGAAAAAATGGTCACCAGCACGCCAAGTTTTCTTCAAAACAAAATCCTTTTATTCATTCTTGCAGGTCATATCGCCATGCGTGGCAACGTTTCAGAACCTGCCCGGTCCCTTCATCAGGCAAATAAATGTGATCACATCAATAAAAACTTGAGGGGGGTCGAAGCTTTCTGTACTGTATCCAAAACTCCTTTACATACACATTCAGAAGTAATTGAGTGTGTTTGCAGGAAATGCTGAGAACATTATAGCTTTTGTGTCACTTTGGATGCATGTGAAAGATTAGAGTCCTTTTTTTAAAATAGTTTAATCCTTCCTGGTGAACGGTATAAGTGGATTGAAATCCACCCGAAATCTGACTCCGTCCTGGCACAGACAATGTGAAGTGGTATAAGGCCATGTTCCTTGATGGTGCTTACATAGCTCACTGGTATTAACGGACAGTTCAGTTTTGGCAGCCTGTGTTCAATTCTTCCTCCAGAATAAAGTGGGAACATTTCTGCGAGGGGAAGAAGTACTTGCACTATGTTTTTATACCTGTTGTTGTTTTGTTGGTAAATATTCAACATGCCCAGCATAGGAGAAGGCTTTGATGCTTGTCTCCCTCTCCTGTTGCCTTCTGGGGCATACTCAAGAAAAATTACTGGGAATTCCCTCATATGAATGGAAAATCTGTGCTTATGAACATTGTATTGCTTGTGTAATATTACGGGTATCGTAAATCTCACTGAGTTCCACTGTCCCTTAACTTAACTATGAGAGCAGCAGGACAAATGCTTTATGAGCTTTATAGTTATACGTTTCCTGCTGTTTCATCCACTGTTGTATTAGTATGGGATTCTACTGGCGGGGGTAAATGCACCAATCTTTAGTTGTAGCATTGTGTTTGAGGGGGCATAGTGTTATGATGGGTCATTTGTTACATATATACTTTATTATTGTAATCATGTTGATCAAACTGATTGCATAACACTTCTAAAAAAAAGAGCATTTGCAATTATAAAGTAGCCAATTGTATGTATTACATTACTGGACCTTTCATAATTGTAACTCCAGGTTAACATTTTCCAAACTACTGATGTGTAAAGAAGACTTTCCGGAACACTTTCACTGCCATGTATGTTACTTTAAAGTGGACCTGGAATCAGTAGTAAAGAAAGTAAAGTAAAAGTAAAGTCCTGTCTTTAAGAGAAATCTTAGTTTTGCTTTAGCAGTCCCCTGAAAAACTTTCCTTACATTTTGAACTCCTCCTGGAAAATAGAAGTGCACTTCACGTGCCTGGAGACTTGCTGGATAAGTGTTTGTACCTGAGGATTTGCAGTGCAAGGATCTCTCTGCTTTTATTAATGAATGTGCCCGTATAATAAGAGCGATGTCTTTTGTTGCAACACTTGTGACTAAGGTACCAGAGTGTTTGTAGTTTGGTGTGGACATTGGTTGTTTATTTCACAGATGAAAAGATTATACAAATACTGTGTACAGGAAAGAATGAACATTTACTAGTGTACTTTCTACTGATCAAGTATAAATGTTTACTTTTATTTTCTGCAGGAAGTAATAACGCACAATGAAAGCTCGATGTTCTAGACAAAATATATCCTGCTCTAGTCCCTGAACTTATAGGAAGTGGCTTCAGAGTCCTTTCCGGGGCTCTAATATATTTTGGTTGGGTACCTGCATAGAGATCAGTACCCTGTCTGCTCTACCTGGTGCCCCAAATTGGTTGGCTACCTACAGAGCGCTCGGTACCCTGTCTGCTCTACCTGGTGCCCCAAATTGGTGGGGGACCTGCAGAGAGCCCTATAACCTGTCGGCTCTACCCGATGCCCTTGCTTATTTGGGTAAATAACTTCCTGTGCTTCCCCTCTCCGTAATGGCTGTCACCCTGTATGTGTCATTCCAGCTCTGATCTGTTCTCCTATTTCTTTGTGAATCACTTCTGCATCAATGTTTTATATCCGCACGTCGCGTGAGCCGGATGTACCCATCATAAGCCCATTCATATACAGTAGAAGCTCTGAATTAAGGAACCTGTGACTGGAATATATTCGTGTCACCGTGCTGATATCCCCTTTGCTTGGTGTATTCTTTACAGAGGATAACAGTAGCTGAGATTTAACCATTAGCCTTCCATCGAGTGAAAGTTGTTCAGCAGCACATTCGACAATGCAGTAATGTTTACTTCATTACAGAGAAATCATCATTGCATCAAGGTTACATTTTCTTATTGGATTTCATCTAACAGGTTAGGAAGTTGCTGTTCACACAACAAAACAATATTGTATGTGATATTGTGAAGACTGTAATCACTTGCCATGAAACATACTGAGCGTCTGGTAAAGCTTCGTATAGAAGGTGCTATTCTGCAGAGATCCGTTGCCTCGTTCTCTCCCCATCGGCTGCTGAACACGCAGTACTGAAGCCTGTGATTGCTCGGTCCAGGGATGTGCATTGGCTCTCCTCTCTGCGGCACAAAGACTTGTTTGCAGCATCTGTTTTGCTTGTACCGAGCACCCATGATCCTGAGTAGGTCGTCTCTGGGCATTTATTGATTTCAGCGCGTTCTCTAGGCCAAAGGCACGTCTGCATTCTCAGTGCTGGGGACATAGAGTGTACAATGATGAATGTAGCTGGATGAAGTCACTGCGAGCATCCAATCGCTGTGCAGCTTTCAGCAAGGTTCAGCAGCTTCTGCAGATGAACTGAGCATCCCACACTGTCAGAATGGGAACAAATCCCCAGCTCCCTGACAGAATCTAGTAATAAGTTCCTGTGTTTTGGAGTGAGGCTTAAGGTGAGTGTGCTGAATGGAATTTGCATTTTCAGATTCAGTTTTCTGCTTCTAAATGCATATTTGACTTCCCCCATCTTGTTCTCCCTGCATCGTCCTGTCCCACAGAGCAGCCTTTCTCATCCCTGTGACCTCTGCACCAAAAATCTCTGACCAACACCCAATGTTCCTGAGTGCATAGTACTACCTCCTCTTGTACCCAGCTCCTGCCTTACACCACTCCCACTGCACAGCCATCCCAGCACTAAACCGACGGATTCCAGGTCATCCCAAGTGTATCAAACTCCTGTATCCT